ATATGGGGAGATGTGGGGAGATATGGGGAGATCCAGCTGACGAGCGTTTGGTTGGAGTCAGGCGGGCGGCACTTCATCTGGCTGCGCCACTCCTTCATCAAGTTCCCGCGCCGGCACGTCAAACTCGAGATCTCCCCCATATCTCCCCATGTCTCCCCATATCTCCCCATATCTCCCGCACCGGCACGTCAAACTCGAGATCTGCTCTCCGGCCTGATAAAAACAGGGGAGTGAGATTGTCGTCGCCCCGATGATTCTCAGGCTCGCCAACCTCGAGTTCACTGTGTCAACGCGGAATTAATTTTAATTAGCTTAGCTCGTGAATCTCAGGCTCGTCAACCTCGAGTTCACTGTGTCAACGCGTAATTAGTTTTAATTCGTTTAGCTCGTGAATCTCAGGCTCGTCAACCTCGAGTTCACTGTGTCAACGCGTAATTAATTTTAATTAGTTTAGCTCGTGAATCTCAGGCTCGTCAACCTCGAGTTCTCCTTTTTTAACGACGAGCCGATGAGTAAACTATTGAATTCACGGGCCTCAGGCTCGTCAACCTCGAGTTCTCCGATTTTGGGCGCGGCGAGTCGGACCAGGCCGCCGCCGCCGCCCTCGCCTCCGCCTCCCTCGCCACCGCCCCCTTCCCCGCCTCCGCCCTCGCCTCCGCCTCCTTCGCCTCCTCCTCCCTCGCCTCCTCCTCCCTCGCCGCCTCCGCCTTCGCCTCCTCCCTCGCCGCCGCCCCAGCCAGCCTTTCAACTCGTACAGACCAGGCGGGAGGCTCTCATCGCCCTGTTACCATTCTTACTTACTCTCGTGAGGCTGTGAAAGCACGCCCAACCTAGCGCACTTGCACCCGAAGGCAAGTGCGTCTGTTCACAGCTCACGAGAGTAATGCTTACTAGGCTCCCATCTCGGCGCGCACCGGCCCCGACCCCGACGACAAGGAGTCGGGCGGCCAGCCGATCCGGCGCTCGAGACTAGCCGAGATCCGCCGAGATCCGCCGAGGGTAGCCGAGGGTAGCCGAGGGTAGCCGAGGGTCGCCGAGAGGTTCGTCGAGATTTGTCGAGATTGGGCGGCTGCCAGTTCGCGCAAGCTCAAAACGACAGCCAGCTCATACTTACCCTGCCCACTCTTCTCTTTGCACCCAATGCCACGGAGGGGCCGCCAGCTTGCTGACAAGGGAGATGCGGGGAGATGTGGGGAGATATGGGGAGATATGGGCCCCGGACGATGGCACACACAAGAGCTCACCAGGGAGATGTGGGGAGATAGGGGAGATATAGATCCCGGACTGCTGGACACAATAGCTCACGAGGTTAGCTGATTCTCACCCAGGCTCTGCGTCGCCTTCCAGTACCAGATTGCGAGGCGCGACGTGCCTCGGATCTACCAGACGTTTGGCGCGCCGCACGCGGCTGTCGCACGAGGCTGCCCCGCTGTGAACGGCGTTTCTTCACGGGTGGACGGTGCCGAAACAGGCGCGTTGCATGAGGCTTCGTACCTGCGCTTCGCCCAGCAGGCCGTTGCGCCGAGCAGCTTGCGGGCGCGCCTCTGAGCGTGCATCGAGAGCGGGCAGTTTTTTCTGTGTTTCAGGCCATCACAAACGAGGCGCAGATGTTCACTCCGCGCGCGTTTTGGACGGACCGCAAGAAGGTGGAGGGGCAGCTGCTGGGCAAGGTGGCATGTCGCCGAGACGCCGCCAGAGATGCCGCCGAGAGCGGGAGGAGGGCAGCCGTGCGCATCGGAGTGGGCGAGGAGACGCCGCCGAGCCGGCGGCTCGGCAGCTTCCTTTTCTGCAGCCAAGTGGAGCCGTCGTCTCGGTGGGGCGGCCTTTGACCCTCACTGCCGAGGTGCTTCCAGTTTGCCATGGAAGGAAGCTGTCGCTTCTCTCGCTGCGCCCCCGCGGTGGTCCACGACTCACCAGACAAAAAGACCCCCGAGAGGCGTGGCAGTGTTTCGCCGGCCTGATCGGCCCTCTTTCCGCCTCTTTCCGGCAGGTCAACGAGACGCTGTACCGCCAAGGCTACGCCACTGTCCACGACCTGCAGCTGCTGCGCGTCGACTTCAACTCAAACTACGAGGAGAGCCCGCTGCAGCGGAGGGCTGCAAGGCAGCGCTGTGTGCAAGAGGAAATCACACAGCTGCGTGGTGTGAACAGGACACCATCACCAACATCCAGCTGCAGGAGCAGCTCAAGGTGCTCGAGAGGGGCGATGCCGGAGGCGGACTTCGCCGCCCGCTCCGTCTTCATTCACAGCCTCCGTTCACAGGTGACCAAGACGTACCAGCTCGAAGTGACGCGGGTGAGCAAAGAGGTCGACATCCTGTCGGCAGAGGCGGAGGCGGCCATCGCGCGCATCAACGCGCAGGCGCAGCGCGAGGCGAGCGTCACGATCAACCAGGCGAGCGCTTAATTATTAATTAGCTGTTAATTATTAATTAAGGCGTCACGATCAACCAGGCGAGCCCAATTAATGGTTCATTGAGCGAGCCTAAGTAATTAAAGCGTCACGATCAACCAGGCGAGCGCGGCGGCGATTCAGATGGAGCAAGGCGCAAAGGCGACATGGTGCGCCGCCCGGGCTTGTGAGTACGCGGCGCTGCGACGACGGCGCGGTCACAGCGCGCCGTCGCGAGCAGGTATGCCAAGCTCAAGGCGACGCTCGGCTGGAGCAACGACGACTTTTTGCGCTACGTCAAGATCAAGTCGCTCAACGCGCAGCCGGGCGGTTCAGTGGTCATCGGCGTGGACGCTGTCGGGGGGTGAGCCTCTCGCGGGGAGGTCACGAGGTTCGAGGACCGAGCGACCGCGCGCGCACCCCCCCCCCTCGCCTACTGACTGAGTACTGTCCTCTCATCCACGGAACTACAGAGGACAGTACTCAATCTAGCGCGGGAGAGCTTCCTGCTGTTTTATGCTATATGCACATGTGTACCGTGTACGCGGCTACGCGCTCGCGAGTAGCCGATACATCAGTACTCAACCCCGCTCTGGCTAGTTCCATTTCACTCTGACACGCTAATCTTGAAAACGTCCAACGGAGCTCCGTGTTGCTCCCAGCGCCCTCCCCCGCGCTTCCTGCGGCCATGGCCGATGATACTAGTATGAGAGGTCATCTGGCTACCGCGAGCGCGACTCAACTCGCCGACGTCGTCCGATGATTGTGCCTCAAAGTCAGCCTCCGGAGGCTATCGTGGGGTCGAGCCGGCAGTAGCCGTGACATGTGGTTCCACCACCCCTCGTATGCTTTGCCTCTGACCGCCACCGTTCCCAGGCTGCCAAATGGGATGGAAAGGAAGGCTCGGCGAGCGTATAGAAGCGTGCTCGACCTCGTCGTGGCAACCTGCACGGCAGCGCTGGTAGGCGCGATGAGCGTCGTGCCACCTGACCCGAGACGGGTCGCAGGCGTCGTACCGAGCGTGTCGAGACCGTGTCCTGATGTGATCTGCACGGGTGAGTCACGTCGGCGTCAAAGGAGCGACGTGCGACCTGTCAGAGCTTGATCTCCGATCTCAGCGGCGTCGAGTCGTCTCCGGCGCGCGACAAAGGTACATCCCCAGGACGCGCAGAGGCAGGTGCGACCCAGGTCAAAGTATGCGGCGCCGCAGTCCTCGGCGCAAGAAGTGGGCTGGTGCGCCGGAGCAGCTCTTGGTGGCTGCCAGTGGTTCGGCCCGCTTGCGTTGAGACGTAGCTGTGAACAGGTATATCGAGCCTCTCGTGCCGCCCAACCCGCGCTTCAACCACAAGCTTGTGCTCGGTGGAATATAGTAGCTACCAGCCGGAGATCAGCCGTCAGCATGACCCGAGATTTGCCGAGAGCAGCCAAAAACAATGGCGTGCCGACGGCACGCCCTGCCAAGCCACCGTCAATGTGACGGCGTCGCTCACACTGCTTTTGTAGGCGACGCGACGAAATTCGCCGAGAACTACTCGTTAAAGAGCGCCGGTGAAAGAACGCTTGCGTCGGGTCCTGGTTGCGAGAGTCGCGCGATCCCGTTGTGTCACTCCGCCTGCTATGGTGCCTGTCAGGCGAGCACATGTTCCACGGGAAGTCTGGCAAGTACTTGCGGTTCTGAGGTCGAAACGGCGGGTCGGACAGGGAGGCCGGCCGCGGCCGGGCGCCGCCGGGCCAGCAGTCCGTGATGGAGGACGCCCGCCGTGGAGCGTGGTGGAGGGGATTGTTCGAGTTAATCGAGAGTCCTTAGGCGACCCGGTTTCTTTTTTTGAGCGGAGCTCCGTGGCGCTGGCGTACGGCTTTACGTAAGAGCGTGGGTCGTGTATATCGTTAATGAACATGCACCCTCCCGCGCCCTCCCTCTCGGATCGAAACGACAAAGCAAGAAGCAACGCACGCGAGAAAGCGCAAAGCCAAACGGGCAACAAACCACCCGCACCGCCTCCCCAGAAAACACGCGCCTTCCCACGAAAACACTCGCTTGCGCCACCTGCCTCTATCCGGTATTGCTGCGCGTCGTGCCGCGAGAAGAGGAAGGCTTCGGAAGGTTTCAGAAGGTTGGCCGGCCCACGCTCCTCGGTGGCGCCGCGGCGGCCGCCTAAGGAAGGTACGGCAGACTTCTCCACACACACACACAAGGGAGGTGGGGCAAGGGCCAGGGCGACCGTGTGTGCGTGTGTGTGTGCGTGCGTGCGTGCGTGCGTGTGTGTGTGTGTGTGTGTGTGCGTGCGTGCGTGCGTCCGCGTGTGTGTGTGTGTGTGTGTGTGTGTGTGTGTGTGTGTGTGTGTGTGTGTGTGTGTGTGAGAAAGCAAGAGAAGGCGCGGCCGCCTCGCGGTCCGCCGCCAGCTGCGCGATTGAGAGCCGCTGGTACGCAGCGGCGGCGGCCAACCCGTCGCACAAAACGCGGACCACCTCGACAGGCGAGATGCCGGCGAGGTTAGCCGAGATACAGGCGAGATGCAGGCGAGATGTAGCCGAGATGCAGCCGAGATGCAGCCTGGATGTCGCCGAGATGTCGCCGAGATTAGCCGAGATGAGCCGAGATGCAGCCGGGGTGAACAGCCTTCACAGGGGCCCTCTCGCCGCGCACAACTTCTGAATAATAATATACTAATATTGTTACCTTGACCGGCGCCCTCTCGCCGCGCACAACCTCGCAGCGAATCTCGGCGAATCTCCTCTCATCTCGGCGAATCTCAACCAAGAGTATTACCTTCACCGGCGCCCTCTCGCCGCGCACAACCTCGCAGCTAATCTCGGCGAATCTCCTCTCATCTCGGCGAATCTCAACCAAGAGTATTACCTTCACCGGCGCCCTCTCGCCGCGCACAACCTCGCAGCGCAGCTTGGCGCTGCCGACGCTGGCGAGTGTCTCGCCCAAGTACTCGCAGAGCGGCTTGTTCGCCTGGCGGGAGATCGTGGGAGATCGTGGGAGATCGTGGGAGATTGTTCGCCTGGCGGGCACTGTGTCCCCTCAGTCTCGAATCTCGCCTCAATCTCGCCTCAATCTCGTCTCAATCTCGTCTCAATCTCGCCTCAATCTCGCCTCAATCTCGCCTCAATCTCGTCTCAATCTCGTCTCAATCTCGCAGAGCGGCTTGTTCGCCTGGCGGGCTATTCACAGCTGCTATTCACAGCAGAGCGGCTTGTTCGCCTGGCGCAACGGCCGGGGCGATCTCCCACGATCTCCCACGATCTCCCACGATCTCCCACAGAGCGGCTTGTTCGCCTGGCGGGCACTGTGTACCCTCAGCCTCGTCTCTACCCCGTCGCTACCTCGTCTGTATCTCGCCTGTATCTCGCCTGTATCTCGCCTGTATCTCGCCTGTATCTCGCCTGTATCTCGCCTGTATCTCGCCTGTATCTCGCCTGTATCTCGCCTGTATCTCGCCTGTATCTCGCCTGTATCTCGCCCCAATCTCGCCTCAATCTCGCCTCAATCTCGCCTCAATCTCGTCCCAATCTCGCCTCAATCTCGCCTCAATCTCGCCTCAATCTCGCCTCAATCTCGCCTCAATCTCGTCCCAATCTCATCTCAATCTCGCCCCAATCTCATCTCAATCTCGCCCCAATCTCGCCTCAATCTCGTCCCAATCTCATCTCAATCTCGCCCCAATCTCGTCCCAATCTCGCCTCAATCTCGTCTCAATCTCGCCTCAATCTCGCCTCAATCTCGTCCCAATCGCGCCCAAATACTCGCAAGTTCGCCTGGCGCAACGGCCGGGGCGATCTCCCACGATCTCCCACCATCTCGTATCCACCTCGCCTCAATCTCATCGCAATCTCGCTTCAATCTCGTCTCTACCTCGCCTCAATCTCATCGCAATCTCGCTTCAATCTCGCCTGTATCTCGCCTCAATCTGTGTCCTCTCATCTCAACTCTACCTCGTCTCTACCTCGTCTGTATCTCGTCCAAATCTCCGCGCGCCTCGGAGTCCTTTGCCTTGACCTCCATGCCAATCGACCGCGCCGAGACGGCCTTCACCCTGGCAGTGGCAGTAATGGACAAGACTGACAAGATGGATACGAGCGGTGAGAATGACAAGATAAGAATCATAAACACTGCATGAAGCCGTCTCATTCTCGTTCTTGTCACCTCGTCTGCCGCGCGCTCGCCGAGCAGTAGCACTCCAGCGCCAGCTCCAGCCCCTGCGGCACCTGAGCCGAGATTGAGCGCCAGATTGAACCGAGATTGAGCCCAGATTGCGCCCAGATTGATCCCAGATTGAGTCCAGATCGAGCCGAGATCGAGCCGAGATTGAGCCCAGATTGAGCCCTCCTCCGCCCCCCAGCGGCGCACCTCTTTCACCGACGTGCAGCCGGCCGGCAGCGGCGGCGGCGGCGCGGCGGCGGCGGCGGCGGTGGCGGCAGCAGCGGCGGCGGCGGCTGGCGGCGGCGCCGCTGCTGCGGCGGCGGAGGAGGAGGAGGAGACGAAGTGTTCGGACTTGGCTTTCTTTTTCGGCACGAGGTGCGGCGCCTGTTGGCGCGTTACGGAGCTGCTCAGGCGTGGGCAACGGTGCATTGAGCGCGCACTGGTTGAAGGTGCGGAGCGCTCTCTCTCCCTCTCGCTCTCCCTCCCTCCCTCCCTCCCCCTCCTACCCGCTCCCGCCCCTCCTACCCCCAAGCTGGCGAGTAGAGACCACCCCTGCTATTCACAGCTGCGATTCACAGCACACGCCCCTTGCCTGGCGGCCTCGGCATGTGCAGCGGAAGGCAACGGATCACCCCGTGTGTGAAAAAGTGAGGCGTGGTCTCTACTCGCCAGCCCCCCAAGCCCCCGTTCTCGGCTCCATCCCGAGAACACCTCGTCGGCGCCCTCCTCCTCGTCCTCCCCCCCAAACGACAGCGCCCCTTGCGCCACCTTCTTCTTCTTCTTCTTTTTTGGCGCCTACGGGACATGTCTCGGACATGTCCTGAAAGTGCTCCGCACGTCTTCCTCTTCTTCTTCTTCCTTTTTGTACCGGCGCCTCTGCAGCCGCCACCTCGCCTCCGCCGCCGCCGCCGCCACCGCCACCGCCGTCGCCGCCGCCGCCGTCGCCGCCTCCCCCCCCGCCGCCGCTCTCCAGCTCCTGGCGCCGCCTCGCGAACTCCGCGGCGCTGACGAGCCCGACGGTCGCTTTGGCGAGCTGTCCCTCGACGCCGTTGGTGGAGGAGGAGAACTTGTCGTCGACGCCGCCGAGGCGGTACGCCTGCCGAGGCGGCGCGGTGGGTGCGTGCCTTGGCGCGGGCCTTTGGCTGCCCACGGCTCGCAGCGCGCAAGGTGGCTGCTCTCAGTGCTCTCAGGGTGCGCGGTCGCCCGGCGCCGCGGGGTGCAACCGCTGCGGCCGCTGGTGCCGGCGCGCCTTTGTCTCCTCCGCCAGCCGCTCGCGCTCGGCGCGCGCCTCGTCCAGCGCGTCCTTGCGCGCGCGCTCGCCCGCCGCTGCGCGGAGCGCGTCCGCGCCCGCGTTGCCGTGCCCGCGGTGCGCCGTCTGAGCCATCTGTGTACCCGGGTAGCAAAAAAAGAATTTACTCGAACCACGCGAATGAGACAACTTGGGCACTGGAATGCTCGCCTTGCTCGCCCTCGCTCTGCCCACTGCCGCCGCCGCGCACAGACACCACCTAGCTGTAGTTCCCAGCCGGCGTGAGATGCCCGCCCTTCGGGCCGGAGCACCCGTTGCGGCTGGGCCAACCGCAGTACAGCTGCCGGCGGGCTGCCGCCACCTGCTGCTGGTTGGCGCTCAACGCCTGGCATGGCGAGAAGAACGGCCGCGGTTGCCACCGACGGGCGCAGAGCGTGCCGGCGGAGCGGCGCGTCGGCGAGGCCGCGAGCAAAACGATCCGCGCCGCGTGCTCCTCGGGCTCCAAGCAGCCGAGGCTGCCGAGGCTGCCGAGGAGGCCGAGGAGGCCGAGGAGGCCGAGGAGGCCCCCCCCTCCCCCCCGGGGTCTCGAATCCGGGACCACGCGATGCTCGGGCGAGACGCGTGCGCACGTGCAGCGCTGGACATGGCGGTCCGCAGCGGCGCTCAGCTGGTGGCTCATATACAGTGGATTTTATTTGATTGTTTGCTGTCATCACTGGCGCCTCTGTGTGGAGTGAGGTGGTGGATAGGGTGGGCGCTCGCAGCCGTGGCGAGTGTCGCCCTCGCCGTGCGTCACGTGAGGATGGGTCGAGGAAGGCCACCGCGCACGTCGGCCCCACGACACAGTGACCGGCGGGGGCCTCGAGAGCATAGAGGGGGCGATGGAGCAAATCCGGGAACTAAAGGAGGGGGGAGGCGCACCGATCCGCAACACGGGACGGGAGGCAACAAAGAAGTTGGTGGAGATCATCAGATACATCAAGGAGGGAGGGGTGTGGCTCGCCACGCTGGCGGACACGCACCTCGGGGAGGAAGAAATGCGCGAAGTGATAGAATTCTACGAAACAAGCCCCTCTCACAGCAGACTGGCACGAACTAGCACCACAAAAGGCACAGCAGACAACGGCCCCTTATGGGCCGTCGAAGAGGCCGTCATACTCCTCCGGCCTCGCCCCCCCTTCCCAACCCTCCCCTGGCTCAGGCTCCTCATCCTCGCGGCGCGCAGTGCGCACCCCGCCCCGCGAAGACGAACCCTTCCGCCGGCGTGCCTCGCGGGACTGCCGCCCGCTGCCGCCGCCCTTCCCCCCCTCCGCTGCCCGCGCCGCCTTCTCCGCCGCCCGCGCGGCCGCCTTCGCCTCCTCCGCCGCTAACAGCGCCTCCCTCCGCGTGACCCCTATGGGCCCCTTGCGCATCCAGGAGAGGTCGCGCGAGCGACCTATCCAGGGGTTACTCGGATACGGCGCAACGTAGCCGCTGCGCAGCTCCGAGTAGTCGCCGAAGCCCCCCCCCAAATAGCCCTCCAGGCAAGCATCGCAGACCCACTCGCCTAGCTGAGAGATCTCAGAACTCTCGCCGCGCCAGATCTCCTTCTCCGCCGCCTCCATCTCCTCTCTCGACCAGCCCCCCAGCTCCGACCAGCCCTCACGCAACGCCCGGCGCCACAGCCACGGCTCCACGCCAAACTCGTCGTAAAAGCTCCCAAAGCACTGCTGACACTCGAGGCCTGGGCCTCGAGCGTCCGCCGCGGAAAGCTCGAGTGTGGGCGATGGCGCGAGCTGGGCCATGTACTGATTGCGTGTGACTGTTTCTGCCGTCTTTGAGGGGGCGTGGGCGTAGGAGTGGCGCTCTGCTACCCTTGCAGCCGAGCGCCTTCTCTCAGCTCCATTGCCTCTAGGGGGTTGTGGCCGTGGATTTGGCCCCCTAGCCCCCCTCTCCGAGAGCAGGCCTGTCCAGACTAGCGGAGTGTGGTGGCGTGTGTTTGTCGTGGCTCGCCTTGTGGTGGGAAGGTCGGGTGTCAGTGTGAGTGGGGTCGGTGGGACCTCATTCCTCGTCGCTTGCGCCATCGTGGCGGTGCCATTTGCTTTTGGCGGCCTCTGCTGAGCCGGGCGTGCCGGCGGCGGCCCGCTTTGCTGCTGAAGCAGGGCCCTTGCTCGGGACCGGAGTCGATGGCGCCTCGAGGTCCGACGATGGTACGCCTCGAGCCGCGCGCTCGGCGCGTGCCGCGCGCGCCGCAGCCATGCGCTGGGCGAGGTTGCTCTTCGGAGGCGACGCAGGCGCCACTCCCGAGCCGTCGTGCACGTAGAGGCAGCCAGAGCCGTTCGCGCATTTGGCGCCTGGGTCGAGCTCGAGCAGCGCTTCCGTCGCCGGCCCGAAGGCGCAGTTCGGGTACGGCATGCTGTGGACGCGGGCGCATCGGGGGGCGTCCAGCGAGGCGTTGGGGCATCGGCCCGCGAGGTGGTAGGGGCAGTCCCCTGCTCCAAGGGCCAGAGCGGACGGGATCACCCTCGCCTTTTTGGGTGGGCGAGAGCTGGGGTTGCGCTGCGGCTTGCAGCGGCCGCCTCCTCCTGCCAGGCAGAGACGGGCCTCTTTGTCTGAGGCGAGGCCTGCTGGCGGCGCGAGGTAGCCCTTGCAGCGGTGGCAGATCTTCTGTCCCGCCTCCCCCAGCACCTTGTAGCGGTGGTACCGCCCGCCGATGATGAGGAAGTCGGGCCAGGACGCTATCGCCGTGGTCTCGAAGTTGGCGAACCAGTTCGACCCATTACCGAGAGTAGGGACGAAGGTGATCTTGCCACTGCGTGGGTCCGTCTCTGCGCGTTTGAGCGAGTCCCGGGTGGGAGCGCGCACCACGTGCAGGCCGATGCTTTTGAGCGCGTCGGAGATGTTGTTGGCGTTGAGCAGGCGGGCCTGCTCAATGGTCTCTGAGAAGATGATCAGAGGTGTGGTCGGGGTCCGGACCTGGGCCGTCCTGGCATGCGCGACTCCGAATTCTCTGGCCGGCGGCCTCTCGACCAGCTCCACCGAGAGGGAGGTGCTCTTGATCACCGGCGGGTTGCCCTCGGCGGGGCCCTTGACTTGCACGTCACGCGATTTTTTGCAAAAATCTGGCGATATCTGTTCGGTATCTCGTGATATCTGTTTGTATCTCCCTGTACCTCCATATCTCGCTGTATCCCCGCATATCCCTGCAGTGGATACAAGCAAAAAATCCGGCCAGTGGAGGGGTGCTGTGAAGTTGAACCTTGAAGCGACGTGCCGCCATGCCCAAACATTTGGGCGCGGCACACGTGACCGCGCCAGCACACAGGACACATCGTTCATCGACATGCAGCGCTACTGTACCTCCAGTCTCAGAACTCATCGCAGACTGGATAGCACTTTCCCAGTCACGAGTCCCATACTTCCCATCACTTGTACTCGGTGTGTGGTCTTCCGTCTTGCAGGCGCTCCGCGACTCGCGACTTGCGAGGAAGCGCCGCCCCCCGGGGTCTCGTCTCTCCGAACGGCGAACCTCTCGTCGGTCGTCGCTCGTGCAGGCCGTGCTATTTCGATCCCAGCGAGATCTCGCCTCACTCCCATCCTGTCGAACGCCCTCTCCATGCTTCTCTCCATGCTTCTCTCGCTGGACGCTGCGATTCGAGGCCCTCCCGTCCCTCTCGCGCCCCCGTCTCTCTCAAGCGGGCGGCTGCCGAAGGGCGAGTGCCAAGCGCACGCGCCCATCGACGCCAGGCGCGCACGCCGCGCCCACGACCGCCTCAACCGTGTCGGCCGTTTCGACCGTTTCGGCGGCCTCGGAGGGGCGCGGCATCGCCTCGTCCGCATCCGGGGGCGCCTCGAGCGCGTGGGCGGGCTGCGGATTGCCCGAGGCCGCGGCGGGCGTGCTGCCCGCAGCGCACGGCGGCGGCGCGGCCGCGCTGGGCGCGCCGCCGAGCCGGAGGGGAGCGAGGGCGGCGGCGGCGTGCGACCAGCTGTTGCAGCCGCTCTCCGCGAAGGGCGCGAGCGCGTCGAGGAACGCCGAGGTGTCGCGATCAAGGCCTGTCGACGGCACGCGTGGGTGTATGGAGATGCCGCGATGCGAGCGGTGGAGATCGGGCGTGGTGGTGGCGAAGGCCTCACCGGCGAGCGTGTCGCGCAGCGCGTCGCTCCCGCGCACGTCGGACGCGCCCGCCTCGACGGCGCTCCGCTCGGCCGTGACGGCAGGGACGGTGAGCTCCAGCCTGCGGCGCGCTGAGCAACGCTCCAAGTGGGGCGGCGTGGCGCAAGTGGAGCTCGTCTGTTGGGGTGTGGGAGCTCTCGCGTGCTCCTCCTTTGAGTGCGGGGCGCCGCACGCACTTGAGGATGCCATTCCGCAGGTAGCCGTAGCGGCGGAGCGCCGGCCGGCCGCGGTGGGCGAGGACTCGCCCGAGCACGAGCGCCCACACGTCCGAGGGGAGGGCCGGCGCGATCCGTCGGCCGAGCAGACAGAGAAAGTGCACCGCTTGCTGCAGCCCGAGGTAGAGGCTCGCCTCGAGCGGCCGCTCCGTCTTGGCGAAGAGCTGCCAGCGGTGCGACGCCAGCAGCCGGCGCACGTCGTCGCTCGTATCGGTAACGTCGTCGAGCAGCCGCTCCAGCGTGCGCGCGCGCACGTGGCGCTTGCTCGCCAGTGCGCCGCAGATACGACGCGCCGCCGCGACGCTCCGCACCCACGAGCAGATGCAGTCCCAGTCCTCGGCGAACAGATCGACCGGCGAGCCCTCGAGCGCGGCGATGCAGAGCAGCGTCTGCCCCGTGACGACGACGTGACGACGACGTGACGGAGCGCCGCCGAAGATGCACGTGCTCTACAGAGACTTCTGCCTGGCCCACACGATGTCCCACCCGAAGGGACTCGTTTGCAAGAGGCACGAGCACAAGCTCAAGAGCCTCCGCACGGGTCTCGAGAAGAAACGGGACTCGGTCAAGCACAAGGACATGATGCACGGGTCGACGTACGCACAGAAGCTTATGGCGAAGGGACAGTCGGCCCTCTACAAACTCGGAGAAAGCTCGTCGGCCCGGAAATGAGATCGGAAAAAGGGAGGAGGGAACCAAACCCAAGTGTGTTAGGTGGGCCTCGCGTACTACACACTGACACGGACGGGGACAGTCTAGCACTCACGGCGGGAGCCTTACTGACGGGATTGATCGTGATTTGTACACTCAGGAAAGGCGCAAAAAAGCATGGCCAGAGCGGCACAGAACCAACAGGCACTCGCCTCGACACCCTTACACCGCGAAAGGCGACCACCGCGCACTACCAGGCGCACCAGCTCGTCACAGAGAGCGCTACCACGAGGAGATTGGACGGCAAAACGCGCCCAGAACGGTTCACACTGCACCCGGACCACCAGGCAAACTCCCCGGACCGCTCTAGTGCCCCCTGCAGGGCGCCCTACCGATCGAGACTACGCGAGATTGCTACAGAGAGCAGTACAGCGCGCTACCAGGCGCACCAGCTCGTCACAGAGAGCGCCACCACGAACACACGTCTAGGTGAGACGCCCCAAAATCGGACCAGACAGCACCTAGGCCCCCAGCTGCCCCCCTCAGACAGTCTACGATCTGCATACAAGGGCCACTACCGATCGAGATCACGCGAGATTACTGCAGAGAGCGACGAGAGGACCCTTAGGCTTGCGGACTCCCCCAGCAGCTCGCGCCCAGGGGCTGCGCCTCAAGTTGCCTGTGAAGCAGCGTCAGAAGCAGCGGCGCATGGTCGACGATGAGTACCTCCGGGTACCGGGCCCGCCAATGCCCTCCCGAGACAAGCTGCGCGATCTGGTGAGCTCTGGCGCGCGCGGTCTCTGTCTCGCGCCACACCGCTCGCCACCACTGAGCGTTCGCCTCCCGCCGCTCCTCCCGCTGCTGGCGCTCACGCGCTCGCCGCTCCTCCTCCGCACGCAGCCTCTCCTGCTCGGCCTCCGCCTGCTCACCCGAGGCCTCCGACGACGGCCCCTCGGGCGGCTGCGCGTGCCCGGCGTTTTTTTTTGCGACCGGGTGTGTATCGACATGCGAGCTGCCTTCGCCTCAGCGTCGCCGCGCTCGCTCGCGGCCTCGGCGCTGCGCCGCACCGCGCCGCTGCACACCGAGGCCCGCATCAAGTGAGCTGCGCCCGCCCACACGGCCGTGCGAGCGCCCAACCACGTCGGAGGACGTGTGCATAGCGGCCAGCGCCGCCGGCGCTCTGCCACTGTCCCATGCCTGAGTCGCAGCCCTCCGCGCCAGCCGCAGACCTTAGACCCGTGCGGCACAGCGAGCGTGAGTGGATCGAGAGAGCGGCGTGCCACTGCTGGCCGCCGACGGCGCTGCTGACTGCCAATCGCGCCACGCCCCGCCGCAGGGAGCTCGGCCTGACTCTGCCGGCGGCGGGGACACCAAAGGCGAACTACACCATCGCCTGCTGGGAGAGCCCCACGCGCCTCTACCTCTCCGGACATCTTCCGATCAAGTGAGCATCCGAGACGCCTCCGAGACGCTTCCGAGACGCTTCCGAGACGCTTCCGAGACGCTTCCGAGATGCTGCCGAGATCCTACCTTTCCCGCCTCGCACTTCGAGACACCTCCGAGACACGTCCGAGACGCTTCCGAGATGCTTCCGCGACACTGATGCCGCTTCTTGAGACAGTGCCGGAGTGTGTGCACCTTGAATGGCGAGGCCGGATGGATAATCATCTGATTAATTAGTTGAGGAACGAATTAATTAGTTTAAACACAAATTGTTCGTGGGCAGGCCGGACGGCAGCATGGCGACGGTTAATCATTAATTCGTTAATTAATCAAAGAAAAGAAACTGTTCATGCGCAGGCCGGACGGCAGCATGGCGACGGGCACTGTCGGCGGCGAGGGCGGTCTATCGCTGGAGGAGGCGCAGGAGGCGGCAAAGTGGTGGGAGGGAGCCGAGAGATCGCCGAGAGATGGCCGGGAGATGGCCGAGAGATGGCCGGGAGATCGCCGGGAGATCGCCGGGAGATCGCCGGGAGATCGCCGGGAGATCCGCCGAGATGTCGCCGAGGTGTCGCCGAGGCAAGATCTCGGCTGATCTCGGCTAGATCTCGGCGAGATCTCGGGAGATCTCGACAGGTGCGGGCTCGGTCTGCTCGCCACGATCCAGGACCAGCCGCAGCCGAGATGCCGCCGAGATGTGTCGGAGATGCCGCGAGATGCCGCAGGGATGCAGCCGAGACGCCGCCGAGGGCTGGATCTCGGCTGACCTCGGCTGACCTCGGCTGAATCTCGGCTGAATCTCGGCTGAATCTCGGCTGACTTCGGCTGATCTCGGACGATCTCGGCTGGCCTCGGCTGATCTCGATCTCGGACGATCTCGGCTGAATCTCGGTTGTGTATCTCGCTGCCAGGACCAGCTGGGCGGCGACCTCGACCGCGTGGAGCAGGCGAGATCTCAGTTAGATCTGGAGCATATCTCGGGCAGATCTCAATCTCTCTCGACCAGATCTCGGCAGATCTCGGGCAGATCTCAGTCATATCTCGACCGCGTGGAGGAGGCGAGATCTCAGTTAGATCTCAATTCGATCTCGGGCGGATCTCAATTCATTTTGATCCGATCTCGGGCAGATCTCAACTCGATCTCGGGAAGATCTCGGCTGCATCGGCGAGAGACCGCTTGTTGAAACACGTTGTTGAAAGAAGTGGTTCGCTGTCATAGGTCGTGAACCTGTTTGGCATCGTCGCGAGATATGGTTGAGATCGAGATCCGATCGAGATTGCCCGCAATAGGTCGTGAAGCTGTTCGGCATCGTCGCGAGATATGGTTGAGATCGAGATCCGATCGAGATTGCCCGCAATAGGTCGTGAAGCTGTTCGGCATCGTCGCGAGATATGGTTGAGATCGAGATCCGATCGAGATTGCCCGCAATAGGTCGTGAAGCTGTTCGGCATCGTCGCGTCCGCGCCCGAGTTCAAACAGCAGCACCTCGTGTTGAATGGCGCGAGAGAGAGGGGAGATCTCGCCGAGATCGTCGCCGAGATCTCCCCGAGATCTCCGCCGAGATTCTCGCCGAGATCCAGCCGAGATCAAGCGGACACATGCCGCTGAGGTGCAGCCGAGGTGCAGCCGAGATCTAGCCGAGATCTCACCGGGTCCAATCTCGGCGAATCTCGGCGAATCTCGGCGAATCTCGGCGAATCTTGGCTGAGGGTAATCTCTAGCCGAGAGGCGATGAGGCTGCAGCAGAGAGGCGTTGCCGCGATTTCGCGATCTCGATCTCGATCTCGATCTCGATCTCGCGCGATCTCGGCCGTAGGCTGCTCTGACGTGATGATGGCGGTGCTTGGCGGGAAGAGAGGCTACCACGCTCGCTCCGCCATCGGCGAGATCTAGCCGAGATACAGCCAAGAAAAGAAAAGAATGTAGCACGCTCGCTCCGCCATCGGCGAGATCTAGCCGAGATACAGCCGAGATACAGCTGAGATCGAGTCACCGCGCACGTAGCAGTGTTGCGTGACTCTGCTTTCTGGCTGTGAATTAATTCGTTGTTAATTAGTTGTTAATTAGTTAATTACTTTGCGGGGCACTGCTCTTCTCGCGGATGGCTATCACGCTGACTGCGGCGTCGTGGGCGGCTGGACAGACGGCGCAGAGATGCCCCGTGCACGAAGAGATCCCCTTGATCCGACGACTGAGTTCGTTTTCTTTCATACCTGCGGTGTCGTGGTGTACGCAGGCACCAACACGCTGCCGCTCGACTCGCCGGTGGAGGTGGAGGCGATCATCACCGTCAAGCCCGCCTGACTCGACTACGGCTTTACGCGAGAGTGCCGAGGGATTGGCCGAGTGCCGAGAGAGACCTGTCTCCGGCAATACAGTATCCGTCTACCCCGTCAAGCTGACGCGTGGGGGGGCGTGCGCTCCCGCCTCCTCGGTTGTTGGAGGTGAAATGTGAGCTAACCACCAAACCAGAGGGTCGGGTAAGGTAAGGTAAGGTAAACTTCTCCACACACTCGAGGTGGTGGGGCAAGGGGGGGCGACCCTCGCGTCTCCACGTCTAACGACAGGAGCCCCACGGCATTTAAAGTGCAAGGCCCGGTGCGCGTGGGTGAGCGGTGTGTGTGTGTGTGTGTGTGTGTGTGTGTGTGTGTGTGTGTGTGTGTGTGTGTCTGAGGGAGGGTGTAGAGGATGTAGAGTGTAGAGCGCTGTAGAGCTGTAGAGATGTAGAGCGCTGTAGAGCTGTAGAGCTCTACATCCGCCGCGTGACGAGGCGCCTGCGTTGTAGAGCGATGTAGAGCGCGATTTTGTTGTAGAGTTTGTTGTAGAGGCTCTACAGCAAAACCGCCGGGAAGGCAGTGACTCAAAGAGGTCGAGCCGCGCTAATGGGGTGTCTCCGAGCTTACTGGAGCTCTGATGGACGGCCCTGACTATCCCTGACACACAGAGAGTCACTCTGACGGCACACAACACCCTATAACTGCGTCATGACCAGCCTGGCAAGTGCAACGCGCCTCATGTCGGAGAGCGACCGTGCCTCGTTCGCCGCTTATGATGTAGAGTTTGTTGTAGAGATTTCACGTTGTAGAGCGCCTCTACATCGCTCTACAACGCAGGCGCCTCGTCACGCGGCGGATGTAGAGCTCTACAGCTCTACAGCGCTCCAGAGCGCTCTACATCTCTACAGCTCTACAGCGCTCTACACTCTACATCCTCTACACCCTCCCTCAGGTGTGTGTGTGTGTGTGTGTGTGTGTGTGTGTGTGTGTGTGTGTGTGTGTGTGTGTGTGTGTGTGTGTGTGTGTGTGTGTGTGTGTGTGTGTGTGTGTGTGTGTGTGTGTGTGTGTGTGTGTGTGTGTGTGTGTGTGTGTGTGTGTGTGTGTGTGTGTGTGTCACGTCACTGCATCCTCTGCCGGCACCTTGTGATTTTGGGGTCAAAATCGTCCCGATTTCATAATGTTCGTTCGTACGTGCATCCGCGGCGCCCAGCGCGGTGCCAGCGGCTCCCATACCTCTAAGAGGCCACCCACCTCCGTATAGACCCTTATATCCGCGGTTTACGCCCAATAGAGGCAGCTGCAAGAGGGCCCGGACGGGCACTGCGGCACACACTGCTCGCTGCTCGGCCATGCGGTAGCGTCTGGTGATGCCGCCCCTGCGCGGGCGGGGGCGTCTCGCTCGGCAGCAACTGCGCCGCGCAGCGCAGGTTCGAGGGTCGCGGTGGGTGGGTACACTGGAAGACGTAGCGGTCGAGAAAGCGCTCAGCGACCGCTACGTCTCGAGGATGGAGCCGTCGCGCGGACCCGACCGGCCGACCGGCAGTAGCAGCAGGCGCCGGAGGGCGCGGGAGGCAGCGGCGACACCTCGGGCCAGAAGCGCGAGCCCTAGGCTGGTGAGGGGGCCCGCTCATGCGTAAACGGCTCTGGGACTTAGCTAAATCGCGCATCGAAATCGGGACGATTTTGCCAGGGCACCGTCACAAGGTCGCCTCTTCTTTGTTCGTGGTGTGCCGGTGATAGTACTAGCACGCGCCAGTTCGCACCTGTGTCGAGCCTGTCTGCTGTGAGAGAGAGTTGTTTTGTTTAAATTCTTTGTTCGAATGTTTTTCAATCCATCCTTCACGAAGCCCTCCCATGTAGCTAGCGTTCTTTGCGAATGTCTCGAGGTGGCCAGCAGGCGCTGTCTGCTCGCGGCCTGTGCGGGTCGCTCGTCCTCCTCGCGCTTCTTTCGTCCTCCCGTCCCTCCCCTCCACCATGGCCTCCTCGGCACTTCTTTCTCCATCCGCCTCGCCCTGCCTTTTCGTATCGTGCCGTTCGCCCTCCATTCGGTGACCTCCATGGCTGTCCGACTCTGTTTGGGTGGCGCTCTCGATACCGTTGCGTCAACCTCGACGTCGCTGTCGCCCTCCCCGTCCCCGTCGTCGCCCGTGCCTCGGTTCGCGTCATTGGTAGCGTTTCCGTTGCCCCCTCGTGTTCCGCCGTCGCCCTCTCTGCTCTGGCCGTTCGCGATTTTGAGGGTCGGGGGGCGAGACCGACACGCACCGTGTCGACGAAGATCGTCCCGAGGTGGTTCAGCTTGATCTGTGGGATGCCCTTGGGGTTGGTGTTGAAGGCGTCCACAAAGGCGTTCTTCTGGAGCTGCATGCGGTGGTGGGTGTTGGGAGTGTGGTGAGTTGAGAGGGTAGAGGGGGGGGGGGGGTAGCGCAGAAAAAGAAACCTCGTTGTGGAAGCCGAAGTAGGTCTTCGTCCTGTCGAGCTGGACGCCGTTGCGGTAGGCCATCGCGATGCCGTAGTGCTCGCAGAGGACGTACAGCCCCTTATTCAGGGACTCGCTCACGGACTGGTAGGTCTCGCCTTGGCCTGGGGCGGAGACGCGCTCGAAGTAGATCAGCGTCCCCTCCTCCGAGGATTTCGACTGGTCCATGGCCCATTTGACGGCGGGGGCGCACCTTGCCCGGATCTGCGGGAGGATCTCGACCATGAGCTTGGCGCCGCAGCCCGTCGTGATCATCTTGGAGGGCTTTGCGATGGCGATGGGGTCCTGCGCGTGGATTTGGTACGTTGTGAGTAGGGGATGGGTTCGGCCACTTGTGGGTATGGTGTGATTCGGCTTTTTGTGGGTGTGGCGGATTGAGAGTCTTAGTAGGTGGAGGGTATGGGCGTTCCTGTTTGACGCCGCCGCGGTCGACGTGGATCTCGCAGTAGTACGTCTGGGAGGAAAGCTGCAGGGCCTCGCCTCCGAACGCCTTGATCACGTTCTTGCGCAGGTTGGCGATCCCGAGCGAGCAGCCGCGCGGCACCTTGAACTGGCTCACGAGCGCGT